AGAGTGTCTAACAGCTCTTTTCCAATGCAAAATATTCATACACTCAGATCATAAATATATCCCTTGTAATTAATGACTATGGAAACAAGGAAAATGGATCAACTTAAGTACCAAGAAGAAAGGGACCTGCAATAAGTTGTTATCCCAGCTGTGGTATGGAAAGTGCTGTGTCTAGTAACAAGCGAGTATCCATGAGCATATAGGTCAGTGGAAAAACCATCTATGTGCCCCCTGTAACAGTATGCAACATAATCAAAAAGGATCTTTGTCTGGAAAAGCAACACAAGCCATATGTATGCAATTTGCTTTCACAAAATATCTTACAACAGTTTCATACCTCAAGTAGCTGGAAAATGAAACAGTTATTTATGTCATTCCATTCAAAGATGTACTGGATCACTTACAATCGGACTGTTGAAAGGGATGCTAGAAAACATTTGTCATCATACACTAGATGGATTATGGAAAGCAACAGGGAGGAGTTTTGTGTTTTAAACATGATAGTCTTATGATGGAGCCTTTTGTAATGGAGACTATGCTTCAGGGCTGTCAAGATGCGGAGTCATCAGATAGAGTATGAACAGAAATGGTGAGGCTCCAAAATCATTTTAATATAAGTTGCTCAGCATCTGTATTTATATACATTTTCAAAATAGCAATTATCAGTTGTGTTATTTCACAGACATGTTGGATTTCCTTTTTATCTGAATGTATAAATTGTATAATAATGATAATGTTATTTTATGTGAATCTCACACTGAAGTAAGGTTCTATATCTTCAGTGTGCTGGGTGAAGTCATTATTTGTTGATATACTGACACTGAAGTAAAGCTTTCAATTATCACTGCTGTTGTGGAAGAGATACAAGTACTGACACAAGATTAAGATCCTACATTCTTAGGGTCTAATTTCTCAGTGTTATGGAGAAATCATATTTCATAAAGTTTTTTAAATATTATTCTGTACTTAGAATGATATAGAAATGGTCTTAATTGTTTAAATTTTGAATTTTAAACAATCATTATTAAAAAACCAGATAAAATTGTGGCTTTAACTTTCTACTTATTCTAATAGGTGTTTTGCTGAACAATGTGAAGCACAATTTATAGTTTTTGGTATTGGTCAGAGATTCACTTAGCAATTATCATATTGGACAGTTAGCTAGGTAATATGGCTATATGTTGAATGGGTTTTCCCAAAACAACATGTTATTCATAGTTTCCTGTGCAGTGTTAGTTCTGCTTCTTAATAAACAGATCAACAAATAAGCATGCTCATTGTAAAGCTGTGAAAGCAAATATCTGCCTTCTGTTGTAAGAGACCATCAGCAAAGTATTTTAAATCATGGAATTAAAAAAATTTAACCTTTCAGGTAATGAAAGTGACCACTGCAGCTTTTGCAGATTCTGGCTAATTTTTGATTAGTAATTGAGTATAGCTCTCTTTACGGGTGCACTTGGCTCACTCACTATTTCTGTCTGAGGGACCAGGTGGACATGCATTAATAAGTAAGGCCTTTCTGTAGTCAAATATACAATAACTCAATCAAACATGCACTTTCTGATATTTTTTCCCAATTGTAAAAGTGTTAGTAATCCATGCTTGTAACTTGACTAAGTCCTATTTAAGGTATATTTAAGATATTGTCAAACTACTCTACAACCTCTAAAGCTTCCATGCTATGCTATATTCAAGACATCAACACTGGGAGACTCTTGTGAAGTAGCTACTTTGATTGACACATATGAAGTGAAGTGGCCTGTGTCCCATGACAGAAATTATATGTCCCATTTCCAGATGAAACAAAATGTATGTGGGTGTAATGTTTTTTAGATACAAAGTTATTTGGATGTGCCCATGACTGGAATGTATAGCATGACCAAAATTAATGCATCTGGCAACATCCAGTAGGCAATACTTTTGCACGTACTGTAGAAAAGGCAACACTGTGAATTGAAAATGAAGAATGTAATCTGGTATCTACAATTGTGAGTATCAGCAGAATTAGAACCAGCAAAAATCAGATAGAAATCTAGTGAAGACAATGTCAAGCAAGACAACATTAGAAGTGATACTAGAGAGAGAGAGAGAGCAAGAGAGTAGCGATTCAGTAATTCGTGATGGTGATTGTTAGTAGTTCAGGCCATTTGTTTATGTTATGTTCCAAAAAAAACCCCAAAAAACCTGCCTGTTATCTGAGAAAAAGATGCACAGCACATAACTTATCTTGAATAAATAGGCGTGTCATGTACATTATTTATCATTAGCATAAATTCTGCCTTATGGGAAGGTGTTTGTGCTAGTAATTACTAATCGTAGTTATCATACCTCAATGAAAAAATTTAGAAAAAGTTAACAATTTCTAGAAAAGGATTTTTTCCTGGGAATTACTGCATGGAAAAAGTCTTCGGATTGTGTTTTTTAGTCATATGCAACTCATTGCATCAAAATGATTCAATCTACTGAGCTCAAAATTTTCATTAATTTTACTGGTATAAACTAATGTTTTTATATATTAAGAGTGGTACTATTTGTTGAAAATATAATAGCTTTTTTAAGAACTCCAGTTTCTCAGTACTTAAAAATTACATCAATAAAGATATTATCAAATCCTTAGTTACAGTCCTAGTTAAAGTTGTGTTATTGTTGTGAGGAGAGTACTTTTATCTAAAATTGTGTTCTATTATAAAGAAGTGGTTGTTGCACATACCATAATTATTTTTCTTATTGTTTTAATCTTTAATAGCCAAAGCATAAGATTTTTTATGGATATTTGTTTGTGATGACATTCAATAGATGGCGAAGGAGTTTTGGTTACATATATAGATACTGACATACTTGCTATGTCTATTATAGTAAGATTAACAATAATCTTGACTTGTAATTTTTTAAATATTAATTAAGAAATTCAAATGTGAAAAGAAAAAAATTAAACAAGTTTCATTTAACTCTTTCAGCACTGGCTCAGTCCCTGGAATGACCTGGTAACCATTTTGTGCTTGTTATGGTTTTCATGCTATAACTTTTAAATTAGTAAGCATATATTAACAAAATTTAGC